TCAGCGACTCCAGAGTCGACGTGTACAGAGTGCCTCCGACGTCTACATGCACGGGAGCGGTTGCTCGTGTGGGCGGCACCGCCAGAGGCACTCCGACGGCCCTACAGGACACGGCCGGATTCGACGATTCGCGACCAAGACAGGTTGACGCGGTTGATTTGGCCAGTGCTGATGAGCCGGAAGTTGGTTGGCCGAACTCTGGCCTCGGAGCATCGGCGTGTGGTGCCAAAGCGCCGGCTGATTGAGGCTGAGAGAGGAGCCGTAACGAAAGTGGCGCCGATTCTGAGTCGGCGGGAAGACTGGCAGGACGACTGGCGAAAGAGGCCGGAGCAGGGCTGGAGACGGCGACCGGTGGCTGAGATGAAGTCGTCTCCCAACCGGTTTTCGCCTCATTGGCCGGCCACAAGCAATCTTGCGGCACCGAGAACATCGCCGGCGACGACGTCGTCGGTTGCCCGGTCCCTGGACAAGCAGAGGAGACTGGAGCCAATTGGACCGAGGAGGGAGGGAGCAGGAAAATGTCAGAAGGACGACTGCTGTTGCTGCTGACGCTGCTGTTGATGGAAGTGGTGAGGAATGGTGTTGAGAGGGCCGAAGTGGCCAGGAGAGTCGAGGCTAGGCCATCTGTAGGGTAGAGCGGGCAGAGGAGTCTAGAGGCTAGATCTGTCGAAGAGGAGGCTGGGCGAGGAGAGGAGGAGTTCGGAGTCGAGACGAGTGGTGAATGAGGTCCACTTGGAGAATCGTGACGAAGCAGTTGACCGGGCTCGAGCGTATCGTCGGACGACGGAGAAGTCTGTGTTCATGAGACGATGAATGGAGTACCGAAAATTTGAAATAAATGAGAGTTGATAGGGCCTGAGTATAAGTGACAAAGTGTATCTGAGCCAATCAGGCTTCCTGTAAGGACAACCCAAGTTGATACAGTTTTATCAGGGTAAAATCACCCGCTTAAATAACTCGTCCTTAACTAAACATAATCCCACTCAATGTATGAAGAGAAGATGGGTTTGGAAAAATCCATTAGTACATGAATACTGACATATTCTTCATTTCATCTGAGAAGGCTGGTGGATGGGATTCGTAGATTGGCATCACCGAATACCGAAGGTGGGTTGTATTGGACTTTTGCCATCCTACGAGCCTGATGATTCCGTGCTGAGCTTTCGTCCGTCATGTGAAGGACATTGTCATAGCCAGAAACTAATATTCACA